TAAAATAATAATACAAACAACTTTTTTTTTTTTTTTTTTTTTTTTTAAACAAACGCAACTTCGTTTAAAAACCGGGAAACGGGCCCTCACATAGATGCTACAGCCATCATGGGCTAAGAAAGGCACTCCCGACCAGCCCTATCCCCAACCACAGCCATCTAGCTACCGAGACCCCGGCCCCCCCAGTACTATCGGGTCTCAAGTTGCTAAAAGGAACAAAGGCCAAAACTCAAAGAAGAAGACTATCACCCCAGAGAGGTCAAACAATGATTACTCGAATTTACTCAAGCCACTAAAAATACTCGAGATTATTCGAATTTACTCAAATCGCTAAAAGTACTCAAACCCAATAAAAGTACTCAAACCCTATTTAATAGTCAAACCGTAATTACTACTAACCATTCATCAAAAACGGGCACAACTCCCAAACCAATTCAAGTGTACTATACTTCCAGCAAACCAATCAAATTTCTCTTCTCCCTACTTCAGGCCAACCAATAAAGTTGCTATCGCCGGATACCAAGTTAGGGCAGCGAGTTGACAGCCATGGCGCGATAAACAGCCCAATTGCCACAAAACCAGTCGAAATCCCACACAATCCTCAATTCAACGTTTCCACACAAAAAATGGCGAACCGCAACTGATCACAGCCAGTAAAGCGATAAAGCAAATCAACACCAAATCCCTACAATCCACGACATCACCGCTGTATACCCCGCTAGCACCCATAGTCGGTATCCCCTATAAACCCATTCCAAACCTATATAGCCTAACAATTAGTCTAACAGTCGTGTCGTTCATAAACAGAGTCAAGGACCCGTCAAAGATCTAAAGACTAGGAAGTCGCGAGCAACACCACGTCCGAAGCAGGAGCATCGGCTAAAGTGGACAAACCCCGGTCGAGGCTGAAGCCCTGTGTCAGCAATTCACCAACAGCCCTGGGCTACCAATCGCAGTGAGAAGTCCCTCATCCAATCTCCCGGATGTCGACGCTTGTCGATGTACTCTCCTCGTTTATCTCCAGCTCTTCACTCGGATGAAATTGCATCCGTGGCCACAACACAAAAGTGTTACGTATCTGCAATCAGCGGGCAAAGCCCCTGATCGGTTGATAATTCTGATATGTACGGTGCGCAGATCCTGCCCGTCAGCCGTCCCCACATCTCTCCCGTTCCTCCCACGGCCAATCTAGGATTACCAACTAGCGTTGGCCAAGACCAGGCTATGGCAGGTGCATGGTTGTGCTCCCTCGAAGCGGCCTCCACCTCAGCGCCCACACGCTCAATCACCCCACCGCCTCCGCCACACCCAACAGCGAGCTCTGGCTAAGCATAGCTTAATGACAGCTACCCTCGTGCGATCCCCCGCTGCCTGCGCACCGTAGTGGCGGCGCAGCGTTACCGCTGCGCTAGCGCCTTATAATACAAACAACTTTTGCCTGGGAGGTATGCTCAAATTCGTAACCAAACTCGAGTTAAAAATCAAAACCCAAAAAAAAATGTTCGGGAGGCATTCGCCCGAACACCCGAACATGTTCGGACGTTCAGAAAAGCTCCGAACATGTTCTAATATATAACGGGGATGTACAGCGGCGTCTTTCAATGGAGCGAGGAGCCCAGCACTGCGGTGAGGCTGCGCCTTCCCGAGTGACAGGCGATACCAAACTGGACCCACGGAACGAGTGCCCCGCAGCTAGGATTCAAAGGACATCATTTTTGGAGCGCCATTCTTTCCCAAGTCCCAGTCTGTCCCACAGGAAAGGAACAGGCAGCACCACGAGGTAGCACCCTTTCA